TCATTATTTGCACTTGATATCGATAATTAATTAATATAATATTTTCTTTGATGACTTGTTAAAAAATTCTACATCTTCGATGATTTTTATAAGTTTGAAACATATTATTAAGAACGATATTAAATATTTTTTTATGATATACAATATACGATATACAATATATATAATATATATATAATTATACATTTATTATAAACCTGATTATAATTATATATATATATAATTATAATCAGGTTTAATAAAAGTTATATTTAATATAATATTTAATATTTTCTACATTATATTGAATTAGCCGATTTAGATCTGATTTAGATTTATTCAGAAATCAATGTAAGATCACATATTTATAATGTTTATATTGTAATAAAAATTATGTTTTTTCATAATAAAACATATATATCGATTAACATTATATTGACTTTTTTAATTATTTGCATCCGATCATTCTTTTATGACTTTTCTTATGTTTCTTATTTGTACATCTCATTTTTTAAACTTATTAAAATTCATGAAGAGATCGATATTCAACAAGTTGTTTTTCTTTGTATATTTGTTTATCATATAATATTGTTAAATATAATAATAAAAAAATAAAAAAAAGGCAATTGTAAATTAAATAATTTTGTTATTTAAATGTCTTTTATGATTAAAGATTTACCAATGTTCATTAGATGATCCCATGGATTGACAATGGCACCTAGATAGAGTGTAGCAAGAAAAGGAATTATACAATCGCGGTGATTGTGTGTACAGATTGCGACAATGTCGCCTTTTCTCACTCCATGTTTCTGCATCCAAAGTCCACATTTTATTGTCCGATCGCATATATCGGAAAAATTATCTTCGATTCCTGAAATCGCGTCAACCTAAAAAGTTCGATTATTTGAATAATTGATTGGACAAAAATCAAAGTCAAAAAGCTATTTCCAAATATAGAATCTTTAAATGTAGTTTTTCAATTTTATTTTATACTTCTAATGAATTTGCAAAAAAACTACTTCATTTTTGATTTTGATAATTTTTAAATATATTATATATATTATATAAAATTTAAAATTTTTTCTATATAATAAATGATTAATTTTAGTTTTGAATTATTTGCAAAAAAAGATTGCTATAAATTCATCGAATATACATAAACAAATGATAACGTAAATGTCAACATACGATTGTCATTTATTTATTATTTATAATATAATAGATTATAATACTATCCAAAATATATAATAGAGAATTATATTTCATTATTATATTTCATTATCATATAATAATAGTAATATAGTAGTATTTAAACAATTCTCAGAAAATCAAATTTAAATTATTGTAATATTCAACGTTATTTTTAATCTAGTATTTTTCCAAATTTTTCTAGTATTTGACATGAAAATTAGAAATAATAATGTTACCTAAGCCAAATAAAAACATACACTTTCTTCATATAAACCGATTTCTTTCCTAACAATATTTAAATTATTAAAAAAAATATTCTTAATAATTCTAATTAAAATTATAAGATAATCAAGAGCTAATACCGAATCAGTTGGCTTTAGAAACTGAATGAAACGCACAATTGAACAAGTCCATAATATAATTAATCATGATTATTTTGAAAACAAAAATACATATTTTAGATAAAAAATATATATATATAAGATTTGGCATAAAGACTTAGTATAAGTATAAGTCTAATATAAAATAACAATTTCCAAATGTAATTTATTAATTATTAAAATTTTATCGAAATAATATATATATTATTATAATTATTATATATATTAATAAGAATATATATTACTTAAAATTAAAATTTATAAATTCACAAATACTCATTGTAAAAGAGAAAATATAGTGACTATGCAACAATAAAAATAAGTGAACTAACCAATCAATATTTGATATAATGATAAGAATATTGCAATTATAAGAAAATTGTAAAACAAACATCTGCAGGATCCATAAAGATAGAATAAAATAATGATACAAAAAATATAAATATTCTGAAACTTCATTGAAAATAGCATTCACATGTTTCTCCTAATTTCTTCAAATCGTTTTTGCAGAATACAAAAATAAAATATAAAATAATCGAAATTATAAATATCAAAAATGATATTGATATTTATTTGTAATTTCGATTAGAAGAATTCGCGGAATATCCAAACTTTTTGATTTGAGATATTTTAAACTCATAGTCTCTAACCAAGTAGATGTTTTAATTCATCGTTATACATTTTATTTGTCTGCTATCATAATGTGTTTATATTAAGAGAATGATAATCAAGCTAACGTATACGTAGCAAATATTTCGAAAACTAAGACCAACTGAACATGCAAAAGAAAAAAATTCTTTAAATTATTAATTTTTACAATTTATTATTATTATTTTGTTATTTTATATAGAAATTAACAAGAACTTTTGTATTCTAAATAATTAATTCTAATTTTTTAATTAATTCTAATTATTCTAATTTTTAATAATATATTATATATATAATTATAAATAAAAATAATTATTTTAATGATTAAATTTATCTTTTATTATATTTTATTTTCTATATTAAATATTTTTCTGTATTATATTTAACATGTATATGATGTTAACTCTAACAAAGATGTCTTTCAGACATCACTGATATCAACATTCTAAATATCCTTGTTAAATCTTTTGCATTCAATTTCAAGCATGTTATTCTAAGTATGCAATCAAATTGAATTGCTTTTAGATATTCTTTGAATCCTTAAATGTGAATTGTTTATATTAAAAAAAAAATAATATAACTAATATTACTTAATTAGTTACATTAAAACGATAAAAAAAATTGCTAAATAATAAATGAATAAAGATTAATATATTCAATATCAAAAGAATTTTAAAGGACCGATTCTAAAAGTAAAAATAAATAAGGAAAATAAATATAAAAATTGATATACAAAAAAAAACTCCTTTGTTAAGATTTATTTACTAAGATTTTAAGCAATAAAGTCGCATTAGAAAATGAGGGAAAAATAGAATGCAGTAGATAGCAATAACAAAAGGACTCTCATTCATTTTATTCTATCTAATGCAAATTTTAATTTCTTATAATTTAATATAAGCCTTAATAAATATTTTTGTATTTGTTTCAATTTTTAGAACTAATCTTTCAAAAATATCCTATAAATATATTAATATCTTATATAAAATAAATTCAAAACAAAAAATATACCTGCCAAATAAAGTTTGGTTTGCTTCTAAAAGTGTCGAATATTAATTTCCCTACGCTAGTATATCCATTATCATTCAATATCACTTTTCCTTTCAGCATGTTGTTTTCAATTGTAAACATTAATTCTGTCTAATTAAAAATATAATGTAATATAATATAATCAAATCATAATAATATATATTGAAGAAAAGTCAAAAATACTTGTGAATTATATATTCTTTATATGTCTTACATTACTATCTTTCTTTTCATCGATGCACATATTGATGATTGTTATAAAAATTACACTAAAAAATCAGAATAAGTTGATTTTAATTTATCGAACAAAGCACTACAAGTATTTGATGTTTATTAAGCAACAAGGAAAATTTTTCAAGTTTTTTATTGATATATGTCGTTCTCCCTCCTTGTATTCGATATGTATGTTATAATACTATGACTTGCATTAATTTTTTGTAATAAAATTCTTTATATTTTGTTGATAATATTTAATTTATATTTTGTTGATAATAAATAATTCAAATCAAATATTATTTTTTTATTTTTATTTTTTAATAAAAATGTTTTTTAATAAAACATTTCTTATAATTTTTTAAACTTTAATATTTTAGTGACATGAATTTATTTTTATATTTATTTATATTATCATTTATATTTATATATATATATATTTTTCAAAATATTAATTTTTTTAATTTTAAAAATATTAATAAAATATTTTATATTAAATAATTTTGAGTGTGTGTGTGTGTGTGTGTGTGTGTATGTGTGTGTGTGCATACATAAGAGTATGTATATATGATTATTACTGAATATATGTAAAAATGTAAAAATGAAAATAATATAAAATAAAATAACTTAACAAGATAGTTAAATAGATAATATTTATATCAATATATAAATATATCAATTTATATAGATATATCAATTTAATTATTATCATGTAATTCTCGAAAATTGTTCTCAAAAACATGTGGCAAATGGATATCGCGTTGAAACTACTAATTTAATTTTCAATGTCAGATAATCACTTTCAATAATCTGTTTTAAAAAATATTCTTGAAAATAATTTACAGTATTGAAAATAATATTCTCAAGAGATTATATTCTCTCAAATAATTCTCTTAATTTGTTCTAAAATATTTTAAAATATTCAATTTTATTATGTATGCATATTGTAAAAAAAATATATCATTAATTATATCATTAATATGTAATATAGAACCTTGATTATTGAATTTATTTAGGAAATCTCGTTTGTTGTATTCCTATCGGACGTATCTACTACTACATATTACAAAAGAAAGGATGATGTACAACATATTAACATCATAATTTCATAATATTCATATAAATTCATAAGGAAGATAAATAAATGTAAATAAATACATTATAAGCTGTTAATCAGATTACGATTGATTATTTCTTTTTTTGATGGTGAATTTCAATATTTGCACAGTTTTCGTGCAATAGTAGAAATTCTACTATATTTACAATTGACGATTAATCAACAATAATGATATTCCTAGATGTCATAATTCTCTAATATGCTATCATGATATAACAATCTTCAATTATGACTTTTCAATTTTCAATTATAGCTTTACGTTATTTATTAGTGACGTAACATAATTAATAACGTATTATAATAAAAACTATTGTAATTATTAAGTAAAACAATAGAACAAAGAAAATTATCAATTCTTGCATCACTATTCCATATTATTCCATGCTAAATATTTGTTGAATCATATAAAACAATACATTTAATTTATTGCAGTCGATTTAATGATTTCAAATTAGTTTCTTATCTCCTTTCTTTTCTAATCTTAAAGCTTTTCGTTCTTCCACTTTTTTACGCAATGCATCTATTTTTGATGAAGTAATATGTTGAAATTGTTGTTGTGGTTTTGATAATGATTTGTCATATCTGAAAACAAGTAAATGATTCTTATAATATATTTTTTTATAAAAAATTATTTTTTAAATTTTTACTAATTCTTCTAATATGTTAGACTTCTTTAAAAATAAATTATATTTTTTTAATTATATTAAAATTAATCAATTATCGAATTATCAAATCATAAATTATTTATTAATTTCGTCAAAATTTTTTTTTGGTATAAATTTTGTATTATAAAATATAAATATATATAATGCAACAATTTTTTTCTTTGTTTTTATTAATTTTTAAATTTTATTTATTAGATTTATTTTATAACTTACTAATTTTATTTATATTATAGTTATCAATAAAATTGTTGTTCTGTATTTTTTTACAATCATTATAATTAATAATGATTTTATAACTAACTTATTTGCTTTATATTCTTCGAGTGCTTTGCGTGTATCTCTGATTAAATTTTTCTGCCTTTCACGTTCTCGATTAATGATACATTTTCTATTTTTGATCTCTTCGTCTAATTTCATTTTCATCCAAAATAATCTCTCTTTTAGCTAAGAAAAAAAATGATTGATATAATAATATAATAATTTGACTGAAATTTGCTTTATTTTTCATTAATTTTTTTATCTAATTTTTATATCAATAAATTTTTGACGAGTTTTGATGAAAAATATGTTTTAATTTTAGAAATTCATGATATTAGAAAAAAATGTTTCTGAAAACAGATTATTGATATATATATGTTAATAAATATATACATATAATTTAAATATATACATGATAATAAAATAATAATAAATCGATAATTATATAGGATATTAATACAGGATATTAATATATTCGTACGATGTTATAAAGAGTCAATTTTAAAAACTAAAATGAAGACAAATGTCAGTATACAAAAATATCGATCAAGATTAAAATAGAATGAGATCGTTCTATCTTCGACTTCTAACATTGACTTGATAGAAATGTTCTATCAATCAGATAATGTAAATTTCTTTTTTCAACATATACTATATGTTCCAATATATATTTTAATATATAAGTATATTTCAATATATATGTTGTAATTATTAATTAAATTTTTACTAAAATTTTTATTACAAATTAAATTAAATATTTAAATTTAGATATTTTGCAAAACTTTAATCCAAAACCAATATAGGAACATATTAAAATTATATTTAAACATATTCATAATTTTTAATATTTGAATTTTTAAAGTTAAAATTGGAATTCATTCGTCAAAAATTATTAATAAATAAAAAAATACATAAAAAAACTATTGAGAAATAAAAAATTTATATAAAATCTCCTAAAATAAACTTCAACTTAATAATATAAATAAATAATAGTTAATAGTTTATTATTGTTAATTGAATAAAAATGATATGAACTTCCATCAAAGACATTTCGCAAAGAAGACCGAAGCCATTTGTTTCAGTTGGATCGAAATCCTTAAAGGATAATTCTCGTAAAGATTGAATTGTTCTAATTTCTTGGATTAATTTGATTTTTCTTTGAATTTCATTCTCTCTTTGCTTTATCAATTGAGCTTTCAATTGCCGAGATTCTTCGGTAACTTCTGCAGCTAATCCGAAAAATTATTGGCATTTCATTAAACTTTGTTTTAAAATAAATAATAATTAAATAAATATTTCTAGCAATTATTTAAAAAAAATTTTTAGAAATTTATCACAATATTCTTTAAATATTTTTTGTAATATTGTATTATAAAAAAATCTTCTTTGTATTTTTAATATTTTTCTTTTTTGTATTAAAAAATTCTTGTATATGTATACAATAATTACAGTTATTATTTATTAAAATTATAATTACAGTAATTATTTATTAATATCTATGACAAAGTAAATGTTTAAAAATTTTAAATATACCTCTTTGTTTTTTTTCATCAATCATAATATTGAAAGCTATGCGAGAAGCTTGTTCGATTTCACGGCATTTTTCAACCATTTCCATTACTTCTTTATTATGGTTTTCTCTCCATTTCTCTAATTTTTCATAAATTTTTTGTTTCTATGAAAACAAAACAATAAATTTATTGTATTCAGAAATAATTATTATTTTGTAAAATAATATTTTGTGATTCAATATTATATATTATACGTATTTCAATATTATATATAAATAATATTTTATTTATCACAAGAATTAAATTTATTTGCGAATTATTTTTAAAAAAAAGTTGAAACAAATAACATGATGTTGTTATATCTTTAATTAATTTATAAAAATGAAAGAAAACTTTTACGAATAACATATTTTCTAATGGATAATTCCATACAACATGTGGCCACTGAATATAATACGGATATTAAATATTTAACATTTGGGTATGGTATATGCTTATAATATATTATTTAGAAAGTTGAAATTAAATGACAGATAAATCAAGATTTTAGCACTATTAAAAAATATGTTCTTTTAGGAACAATATATCTAAAAATCTAACTATGAAATGAAGAAAAGAGGAGAATAATTATTCAGCACTTAATCCAAAACTTAAAATTATCAAAAAATAAGAACAAATAAACTAACGAAAACTCAAAATTTTCAAATTTGTCAAAAAAAAATTTGTCAAAATCATGATTCACAAGTCAATACGTTTTCTTGAAATATTAACTCATAACTGGTATCGTGGAGTCTAGTATATTTTCATACATTTAATTTTTTTATAAAAAAAACTATAAATTTAAAACATGTAATATTATTCATGTAAAAATGAATAATGTTAATTAAGGCTAGAATGTTTATTAATTTTAAATATATTTAAATAAATTGCGTGCTATTGACAAAGCAATATAATATGATTCCTTACCATATAAAATATATCAAAATATATATATACATATATATAAAGGATGGAAATGAATGTGCAGAATAATGTATCTATAGAAAAAAATCTTCAATTTGAAAATTCAAAAATACAAAAGTAAATTTTGCGACATATAAAGTATGTACAAACCATTAATATATATACACACATATATAAACATATATATATTCATAAACAGTTTTGGAAAATCGATTTTAGAAATCCAAACAAATGCAAAAATTAATATTTAAAAATAATTGAGGTTTATTTATTAAATTATAAAATAATTAATAATACAAAATTAAATTGCTTTAAAAATATATATATGTATAGTTAATCTTATAAGTATTCGTATTTATTCATTTATTTAAGCAATATTTTCTTATATTTTTTTATATTTTTAAATGCACATTAATGGATATATATATTATATTAATTAAGTATTCATATAAATTTTATTGCAAAATAACGACTTAGCAAAACAAATTTAGCAAAACAATAAAATTAAATAAACTATTACAAAATCAACAAATATTCATATTATAGAAATTTTGTGAACGTGGAATCAAAATATTTACAGAATTCCAAGTTATCTCCTAGAATTGTTATTTCTACTCCATATTTACTATTGTTAATAATAATTGATCGAAAATAGAAAAGAAAAAGAAATCATTTGAGAAATTAAAAAAAATGTGACAATTGTGATAACATTTGTATAATGTTTTAAAAATAAGTGAATATGAAAACTTGCCAAAAAATTTTATGAAAAGTTTCTATTATACAATAAAATAATATATAAAAAATCATTAATTAATAAAAAAAATTGAATGAAGTTGTTAGAGTTCGCAAAAAAATACATTGATAGAGATATAAGCTTCTGGAAATTTATTTTTTCAGATGAAAACAAATTTAATATATTTGGATGGATATATTATGGTATAAAAACAATCAAATATGGAACTCGATTCAAAAAATTTAAAACTAATAGTTAAGCATAAAGAAGGCTCTGTCATATGTAATATGAAGATGTATAGTTGTTTGCGGCATCGGTGATTTAATTTTCATTGGAGGAATAATGAATGAGAATACATAATTTAAATATTTTAAAAAATCATCAAATGCTTCTAAATTACAATTAGAAAATAATTACTTTTTTTAAAATGAAAATCTAAAACATAAGATTTTTATAGTCAAACATATTTTATAATACATTCTTTTTGGAAATACTCTTGCCTTAATATAAATCTATGATTAGCTTTAATAGGTATAATAAGTTCTATATAAAAATATATATATAATATATATTTATATATAAAAATATTGAACATTTCTGAGCGGAAAAAAGATTGAGAAATCAAGAGAGAACCAATAAAGAGATATTAAAAAGAAAATTTAAGAATATTTGAAATAATATAGAAGAAATAATTACTAAAAAAATAATATATAATATATAATATTTTATTATTTGCAAAGTATTATTAGATGTAAAGATGCCCCAACAAAATTAATAATTATAAAATTATTTATATTTTTTATAATAACTAAATAAGTACGAATACTTGTAAAATGTTAATTTTATAATAATTTATTTAAATTTATTATTTTATACTAAAATTTATTTTACAATAAAATTTATATGAATGAAAAGTTTATTTAATATAACATATAAATTTAAAATTAATGAATAAAAAAAAAAATATGAGACTGATGTATATGTAGATGTTATACAAAGCAAAATGATGCGATGGTATGACAAATATAAAATCATTTCACATTATCTGATTTAATGATTTAATGTAAACTTAAATTGCTTATAAAATTATAATTTAATAAATAGAGTTTCAATCAAAATTTTTATATACTAACTTTCATTTATATTTATTTTGATCTTTAAATCATCATTATTTTGATCTTAAAATTAATTATTTAAAAAGTTTTTTGAAACATACTGTATTGTATAAATACGTATGCATTTCTTTTTTCTATCTAAATTCTATAGAATAAAAAATAATTTTCGAAAATTTTCAAGTCAAAAAGATTTATCAATTGCATTTGCAACAATTAGAAAAATGTAATAAACAAAAAATTTATATTTTTTTCTATAATTTGTTTTTTTTATGTTTTTTATGTTTTTTAATTGTTAAATAAATTGTTATTTTATTTTTATTTAATAGTTAAAATATTTATAAAACAAATTAATTTATGTTTTTTACAAAATAATATCTTTATGTTTTTCGATTATTTCTTATATGGTTATTTTATATTTCTTAATTATGTTCATCGAAAATTTATAGAAGTTCATTATATCATATGTAAGTTGCATGAAAAAAATTGTTTCTAATATTTATTAGAAAAAATATTAGAAAAAATATAATAACAAAAAGATTGATATTAAATATTTTATATTAACATATAATAGATATTAATGAATACATAATAAATATAATAAGATATTTTGAATAATATTTATTTATGTCAGGCAATGGATATATAATAAATATATAAACAAAATAATTTTTTGATAATCTAAAATGATTTTTTCTTATTCATTTAAAATTATATATATATATATATATATTCGCCTTGCAAACAATTAGTTTTTATATTTTTAATTTTTAATTTCATCTTTTTTAAAATTATAATCATCGTTCTTAACTTTTATTTAAATTTTAAGCGTCTTGTTGGTCAAAATTTATCTTGTTAGTTCAAATTGAAAGCTATAGACAGAAACTATTATAATTGATTAATTATAACGTTATACTCAATAGAGAAAATTCGATAAAAAACGTTAATCTTTCTATCGCCTGTTATTAAATCAAAAATTAGTAAAAAAATTTCAAAAATGATTTATATGTTCATCATAATATTAATTCTAAATTCAATAAAGAATCTTTGTAATTTTTAATTAGCGTTTTTATAAATAAAATTATTATTATTTAATTTCATTATTATTATCATAATTTATTATTATAATTATTATTATAATTTTTGTTTTTTCATGTTATTATTGCGTTAATTTTTGATATTTGCAAAATAAGATTGCTATTATTTCATAGAACTTCTCTTACACATTTGTAGCTGCATAAACATAAATATACGATTATTATTTGTCTATATTATTTTTATAATAGAATTATGCTAATTGAATTAACATATTAACTACCAACTATGAAATAACTTGTAGTATTTTGCATTATTGCCTAGGACAACTACGAGTTATTTCGTAGTTTGATTACTTGCCATATTTGTACACGAATTAACTCGTAGTTAGCTTTCGCGAAGATTTTTCTGTTATATAAATCAATTATGATGTAATTCGCAATTCAAAAAAACACATTCTTCTATGCTTTTTGATGAATACTATGTACTGTAATAGGAGATTTTAATAATATAATATGATTAAATTAAATTGGCTTTTTACACTGGAATCCTGAAAAGTACCATAGTAGTCAACGTATTAAATCATAATTTAGTACATTTTTATTATAAAGTAATTGAAATGAATGAATTTTAAAAATTTCAATTAATTCAATTGCTAATTATTTTATCATCATTATAATTGTAATTTAATTATAATATAATTAAAATATATTAACAATGTAACAATGTAATTAAAATTCAACAGTTTAGAACTGAAAAAAAAATATTAATATTTAACTTTACCATATATAAAAAATTTTTTTTTTCTTTTTTCTATTTAATGAGTCATAATATATGATTTATTTTTTTAATACATAATATATTGTAAATGTGAATTATATTATTTTTTAAATATATGTCTAAATTGAAATATATAACATGAAAGACAAGAATTTATAAATAATAATAATATTTATCACTAATACTAATTTTTCTATCTTTTATTCTAACATTTTTATTCTAACATTCTAATATTTCTTCTATTCTAACATTTTTACTTATCATGATATCTGAACTTATAATATCTCAAATTCAATGCTTATTTAATAATTATAATATACCAATGTAATTATATATAATTAATAATATTTATCGTTATAACTCCAATAATTGTAATTTCAATTACTTAAGGATTATTTTATATTTTTCTTGCATTCAGCAAATCCAAAGGATTTATACATTGTCATGCAATCATAGATGTATATATGTAAGAAATTCTATGAAA